TTTTTATTTTCTAAAAAGCCTCTAAGTGTCCAAATAGCTGAGGAACTATCAGTATTAATTTTCACTGACGTCATATTAGGGATGACATATATTGCTACTAAAATAGTCCATAATTCTGCCCTAGTAGATGAAGGGGGACCTTCTATCCTTCTACAGATATCTATTGGGATGTCTATTTCTGAAATGTCAAATGTAATTCCAAAGCTCATTACTTTACTTTTATCCATTTGTAGTGTAGATTTTGTTCTTAGTTGATCTTTTGATAATAGAGATCCATCGGTATATATACTTATGTTTTTTTGATTTACAAGTAAGATTTGTATATCATCAATTTTTTTTTGGATATCTATAGGAAAGGTTAAAATTCCTTCCCAATAACTGTTACTCGGTGTTATATCTTGAATTGTATTTTCTTGCTCCAAAGATTTACTTTGTTTAATAAATGTGTTTATTGAAAAAAATGATAATAATAGTCTGTTACGTTGTCTATGATCATTTTTGTTACTAAGGGATACCACCGATTTCTGACATGGTAAAGTATATATGTCATCCATATTTACATCAAATATACATCCCTTCAATTTATCACCTTTATCTTGTGTAATAAGTCCCTTGGTTCGTACTTCATTAAATTCACATCTATCACAAGGTGCTATAGGAGAACCTCTAATATCATCCATCACATCTGTTACATAATGTCTAATAGGAAAGTAGTATCTAACTTCCTTGGATTTTTGTATACTCTACCTATTAATACTTGGTTTTTAAAACTAGTTGCTACCATTAGTTGTTTCTTAATTATCTCTGGGGCTATAGGTTGTGTTCGATTAAATGGATTAACGTCAGCTGACTGAGTTATTTCTTCCCATCTATTATTAATTTCCGCACAAACTTCATTAAACCAATAGGGTATTATACTAGTTGGTTTTACTTGATCAATGTTTAACCACTTCAAAGTTTTTGTCATGTCCGCATTTATAAGTTGTTTGATAAATAATATTTTGTGTTTTCTACAAGCTTCTCTATTAATATTATACCAGGTTACAGAGTTCATGAACTTGCTTATAGAAATATTACCGCC